TCCCCGGCTGAGTCCTGTGGACTTAGTATGCCTTCATCAGCCTCAAGTATACGGCATATTCGTTGGATTGGGCGCTGGCAGTGATGCTTACGGCGCAGTCCTCGGTCAAAGGTGCTATATTCGATGGTGACCACTCGTACCAGCCCGTCACTCCCCGGATGCACCTCGGTGATGCGTCCAATTCGCCAGAGGGATGGGGGAAGATGCTCCTGCTGGATAGCCACGATGTCACCAACTCGAACATTGGGTGTAGGTCTTACCCACTTACTTCGAGCCTGCAGTTGCACCAAATACTCTTCCTTCCAGCGGTGCCAAAAATGTTGCAGCATGCGTTGAAGTCGCTGATAGTATTTAAGACGATTATCTGGAGCCTCTGGAACGGCGGATTCTGGACGGGAGTTCAAAGGTCGGCCGATGAGAAAACTGCCAGGCGATAATGCGAGACCACCATCAGGATCATCGTGGAGCGCAATTATGGGTCTTGAGTTGAGGCAGGCCTCAATGCGCACCAGCAGGGTACTAAGTTGATTAAACGTAAGTACGCTGTCTCCCACTACCCGTTTCAAGTGCCTCTTCGCCGAACGCACTGCCGCCTCCCATAAGCCTCCTTGATGGGGCGCGGCTGGAGTGATAAAATGCCAGCAAACCCCAGCATCAGACAGTTGTTGTTGGGCGTAGGTACTTATCCATTCCGAAAGTTCGGATTGGAGTTGGCGGTTTGCACCTACAAATTGTGTGCCGTTGTCACTGTAAAGGTTGGTGCAATAGCCTCGGCGACTGACAAAACGATCAAAAACATCTAGAAATGCTCTGGTGCTTAGGTCTTCTGCCAACTCTATGTGCACTGCCTTTGTGCACATACAGACGAAAATCGCGGCATACGTCTTGGTGGTAGCGAAGGAACGTTTGCCACCATGGCGGACCAGGAACGGCCCGGCGTAATCTAGCCCGGTATTAGAGAACGGGGGTGCCACTAAAACTCGATAACGGGAAGATCAGCCATTTGTTGTTGTTGCATGACTTGTTGCTGCAGTTTGCAGGTTCTACATCGATGTATGCATCTCTTGACCAGGACTCGTGCGTGCACGATCCACAATTCTCGTCGTAAATATTGTAACATCTCTCTTATACCACCGTGCATGGTCATGCTGTGAGCATTCCGGACCAGGAGCGTTGCGAAGGTGCACTCTGCGTCTGCGTGTCGTAATCGGCCTCCAACCCTTAACACACCCGATTCGTCTAATAGAGGATTGAGCGGAAGCAACTTACTCGAGGTCGGGACAATGTAAGAAGCTCGTAAAAGATTTATCTCTGAAGCGTAAAAATTACCTTGTGCTTCGCGAACGTGGAGTATGAATGCTTGCTGGATTTCATTAGCCGTCATGACTGGCGTCTGCCAGTGCGATTTGCCAGCAGGTCTAAAGCGCAGAACATAGGCGGTGGTATGTAACTTTCGTTGAATAGTGCTGAAACGTTCGACTAGTGGGATGAATGTTGAGTTGGAACCCAAGCCAATCCGTACTTGTAACCTTGGAGTGCAGGGTGCAGAGATGAGCCCGAACCACACGCAGTTCGGCATCATGCTCTTGCTGTTGCTTATCATCGAGTTGTCGCAGTTGTCCGCAGTAAAAGTTTTCGTCGTAGATGACGTCTGGCCCCTTCCACCAAACAGATTAACTACTTAGGGCTTGTGGCGTTATGCCGCGACTGACGCAGTCGGCGGGATTCTCCTTAGTTCGTATATGATGCCAATGTGAAATACTGGAATGCTGCTGGATGTACGCAACCCGATTCGACACATACTGCATCAGATTGCTTGTTGACTTACGAATCCAAGAGAGAACTATACTAGAGTCGCTCCAATACATGCATTGGTCTTGGCTGAGCTGAAGAACTTCTCGAGCGTTCACCATCGTAGTAACCAGCAAGTGTGCAGCGCATAACTCCAACCTGGGAATGGTTATAGCTTTCAGTGGACTACCCTTCGTTCGCGCAGCCACCAGTCCTACTCGGACTGTCCCATCAGTGTCAATACTTCGAGCATAAATGAC